AAAAAAAAAAAAAAAAAAAAAAAAAAAAAAATTATCTTGCCCATTCGCGTGTCGTTGATCAACGCCGCGGAGAGCCTTTCCAAAAAGGTGCAGCGCCTGTTGCGCAACAGCTGACGACCCTTCGAGTTCCTGTCGAAGATCGACTTGATCAGATGAAATCTTCCGATCTGCGTCTCCACGACGACGCCGCCCGTCTCGTCACTCGTGCTCGACGTCGTCGCCAGCGAGCTCTTCGAGACTCGATTAATTTTGTTCAAGCGGCTACGGACTTTCACGTACAATTCCGAATCCTCCGCCTCGTCCTCCTTGTCCAGGGTGAACGGAATCCACCATTTCCTGGCAGCCGTCCTCTCGCTATCCTGATCGCTCTCGTCGTCCGATCTCTCGTAACCGGAATCGGCGTTGATCGACCCGCGACAGAAATCGGCACTGGGCAAACCGGCCATATCGGACTTTTCCCGAGACTCAACGTAGATTCGACATAGAGACAAGCGAGAAAGACTCGTACTATTTAAAGAGCACGTTGGAGCGAACAGTATGAAGGACCGACGAGAATGACCAATTGGACTAATGGTTCGAGAAAAATCCCTAGAGGAAGCAGGTGTTTTGTGAACGTCACTTAAAAGAAAAAAAAAATTACTAGACCCCGACATTAAAATGTCCCTAGAAATTATCCGGCGGCAAATGCTATATCCTGTGTGTAGGTCAGATCTACAGTTGAACGTGGTTAAGTTGAGCTGCGAATCGACCCTAGGGAATTTAGTGACAAATATAACTAGACGGCCGACAATCTATAATTAAATACATCGACAAACTTAATGTCACTATAAACTGTAGGAGGTCCGATCCGAGTTATTTCGTAAGTAGGTAAAACGATTGTGTATTCTTATAGCCGGGCAACGTGATATTACGTGAGAACAATACGGATATCCTCGTTTGGCGTAAATTGAGGTCTGAGAGTGTCGATGAAAAATAGTCTTATTTTTTTTTTTTCAAAAATGACAAATTTATGACATCCTCCTGCCATGCTTGCTTAGAAATTTCTTTTTTTATTTATCGATCGCCTCGATCAACGGCTGGCAAGTGATTACGTGTACAGTGTTATCGTAGCTATCGGAAACGTCAAGTATAAAATTACCAATGAAAAGTGAAGCACGAGAAAGCGAATGAAAATAATTACAAACGTTTCATTACAATCGGCATAATTAATATCATACCAATTAACGCGATATCGTGAAAAGCACCACGTGAAAATTCACCTTTAATTATTTCATAAATATCCTCGCTTTATTCGTCGCGATTAAACGTAATCTATCAAGCCATACGTGTCCTAGTTGAGTTAACGTTGACACTGATGAAAGTTTTTGCAAATTCCAAAAAAAAAAAAAAAAAAAATGAAATTCAAATTCTCACCCCCTACAATTATTGCGTTAATAAATGAAACCTAGATTGAAAAGAACTTACATGAAAATTTGAAAATTTCAACTAATCGCAACAAATCGACATGAGCTTTAGAGCAAATTAATTGCCCTTACAGAAGATGCTGGTTACTCCTTTTATTTTACCATCTGATAAGATTAACGTTCGCCTTCGGTTTAAAATTACTTAACCTTATACGGACTTCGATTGAAGTCAATTACGAAAACGCTGTACGAATTAAACCCACACATGGACATACATATGTTTCTCGAGGACGATCAATGCAAGTGTGACCGAGGCATTAAACTGAGTAAATAAAATGATAAAAGATTACTTATCGCGTAATTTCTCAAATTCACTACGTGGAAAATTAATGATATCAAGAAGAAATCTATTAGAAGAACATTGCTTATGGTATAACGATTAATCAATTATTTAATAACGATTCATCCAATTTTTTTTTACACGCGTATCGAGATAATAAAAATCCATTATGAAAGGCATAAAAAAAATTATTTAATCGACCAACTGACAAGTTACACGTTATCATAATAAATTTATCCCTGTATGCAATCTGTATCAAATTAACCGACCTAATATTTTGTACAATTGTCAAATTCAATTAACTTTCGAGATTAATTGAAAAATCCATGTCAACTTTTACAGCTGTCATTGTCGACATGAGAAACGTCACAGAATTATGATTAACGCGTAATTCGATAATTGCCTAATTATTATAAAGTCGCTTGGATCGTATTAGTGATCGACCAGTACTGTGCGCCTGGTTTATCTATTTGATATGAAATAAACGTGAATCGAGTGTCATCGGTATAGGACGTCACAATGATTTTAAGAATTAACAGTCTTCGAGTACGTTATAACGTTAATCCATAGCTATGACATTGTTAAGAATTATTACAAAAGTCATGGTTGACCTGTGACCCTGAACCCTTGAAAATAGATGTTGCTCGCCTTATCAGTGAATCAGACTTATTTTTCACGAAGTAAGCAGCGTCCGACGTTCAAAGGAATTACGAGACGGTCCCTGTACCGATATGGTAGTAATTAAATTGACAATAATCCTAACAACAATGATTAACCATAAAACGATAAATTAGGACATTAATTTGACTTTTTTTTTATTATTATTTATAAATTGTGCGATTTTTTAACAATTTTTTTTTTTTTTTTCGTAACAAGCAAATTTTTCTAAACTGTATTATAGTCAATATTCACGTGGTAATTACAATTGCGGTGTAAAATAAATTTTTGCATTTTTGAGTAATTTTATTGATTACGGCCAAAGGCTGGTTTCTACGTTTATTTTTGAATGCAGCTTCCAGCGGACTAGGAGCGACGCCACGCTTGAGATTGTCTGGTACTTTGTGCGGTTTTGAGAAATTCGATTGATTGGGAATACCCAAGGTGGAGATTGGGGGGAGCCAAAAGCATTTCGCGGCGGATTCGGGGTGAATGGTTGGAAAACGGAAATGTGAAATTGGCGGAAATGCCGAGCGATTGCGTTTCGCGTTTTTCGTGCTGATCGTCATTCCTGGGAAGGAATCGTAATCGGCGAAGGACATGGAAACCGTGGGAAAGTCATTTTTATTCCTGATTACTTGACGTTCCTCTATTAGGGTTAATGTGATATTGGTCGTGATTACGTTGTCTCGTGTACGATAAACGTGGGTGAATTTTGGTAAATTTTTCTTTGGTCGAATCGCAAAACCCAATTCGACTTTCAGAGGGGTAAAATATTTTACGTAATGAAGAGACCTCGCGAACGACAGGATAATGACTTTCTTTTTGGTTTCCATGAAATATCGTCGATACTACTTTTCTTCGGAAAAATATCGATTTCACACGGAAAATTGACTCTTTTATCAATTTTTTAATTTAACGAGACGCGGCTATTCAGATGTTACTCAAAATTATCGTACTAAAGGTGGATATGAGAAAACATCCGTTAGAGCATTAAGAAAGATTGAAGTACGTAAAAAAAAATTGAATAGACCAAAAATATGTCGAATGTAATATTTAGTAAATTCGAACGAAATTTGTATCTCTGAATCTACTTTGTGTCTCGTTGCGACAGGATTTTCCGTGAGCATCGCAAAATTTCGTGATCCGATAATCTTCCACGTTTAATTGAGGATTTAATTTTGAGTTTCGAGAAGGTCGAAAGGTCCAATTTCTAGCCAGCGATACTGAGAAATCGGATGAAACGTTCAGAAGACGTAAATATTTCACGAAAATTACCGAGTGTTTGCTCGACCAGCGATTTTTATAAAAAAAAAAAAAAAGTAAAAAATTTTTCAACTTTTAAAATTTTCGAGAAAACATCACGACAATGATTCGCAAAGTTATTTCTTATTGAACGTGCAAGCAGATACGTGAAAATTAATCCATTTAATTATTAACCAGATTCCATAATATTTAGTGATATTATGATCGAGAAATAATTAATCAAAAAAATGAAATGAAAGAAAATCGAAAGTCACTTCCTCAAGCAATGACCCAAGAGAATCACTTCGGTACGAGAGACAATAAAAATATCTTCAGACGTTTTCGTTCGAAAATACTCAAAATCCGTTGCGATGAGATCAAAAAATTTCTATATCCACGATAACAAAGAACGCATTTTTTTTTCCAAAAAATCTAAAATTTTTGCACCCATCATTTCGCTCCTAACAACGTGTCCTAATAATAATATAAATCGTATGAAAAAATGAATTAAGATTCTACGGATGCTACTGAGGAATTTCGCAGTGACTCCAAAGATACGAACGTCATTCAAATTACAAAACGAATAAAATTTTTCTGTCAGTTCAACACTATGGCAATTCTACGATTCAAAACACAATTTTGAATTCCGAGCGCACTCTGAAATCTATACCGCGCGAAAACCAAAGAAATAAGATAAACTAATAAATAAGCCTAAGGGATGCAAAACATATGCAAATACCAAACGATAGCAAAGCTCGACGTAAAATATAATCGAATATTAAAGATCCTGAAAGCGACAAACATTTACCACAAGATTTTCGCAACGTACAAAGGAGATATCAGATACCGAGAAATCGAAGATTGTAGAGACAATAAAAAAAATTATTTTTTTTTGATAAAAATGGATAAAATCAAAAAAACAAACATTTCGCATAAAAACTGTCTTACATTAAAAATCGTATGGGTACTTGGGTGACGCGTTAATTTTTCAACTGTCTAACATTTTCGCTCTCATTCTCGTTATCTTGAAAATCTCTCTTATCAGTACCGCAGGATCAGTTTTCCAAATTCAATCAAGGTTCGCCGTATCATTTCCGGTTTTCGTGGATCCGTATTTTCGATTGTCAAAAAATGACTCCCAAGTTGGACGAGAGCATCGTGGAAACAGATACGTTCCAATTCCTTCGATACGTTACGGGAGACACGTGGGGTCCATCGGATGCTGTGAACTCTCGATCAAGCGATAGCAGATTTCATTCAGGATGACGTCTTCATTTTTTGTTGTTTTCAAAAAATTTTCCTCCATTTCCCGGCGAAGCCAAAGCCGCACTCACCTCCCAAGGTGCCGCTTTGACAACAGCAGGAAAGCTCCTTCTGATCCGGTTCCGTTAAACGACAGCCGTCCGATGTACCTATATAGATGTAATTTGTAATAATTTTTAAAATACTTTTTTTTTCTAAATTTCAACAATTTCATACGCGTACAAAACATACGTGGAATATAACTTTTATATATATATATATATATATATATATATTACAATAGTACCGGGTGTCATCACTTGACATTGTCAGAGGGTCTAGTGTATCCATGACAACAATAGGAATAATAATACACCATGTATTAAAGTACACACAGTACACAGTACATTGAAAAGGTATAATAATACCTCTAGACACGAGTTCACCTTGGTAAACAGCGCCATTTTGTCTTTTTCACATAAATTTTACGTATCAGTTATAATTTCGAGAAAGAATCGAATTTTGGGAAAATTCAGGATTTGTTACCTGAGACTAGGTAAAACGTACACCAAGGTACAAGATACGACGGATACACGTGGACGAGCAAACCAGTGAACAGAGGAATAAAAAAAAGGAGGCAAGACGAAAATTTACAAAAATTCTTTTCGTCATCTTAAAACTTTCTTACC